TGATTGTTACGTATCATCACTGAATTTCAAAATGTCAAATTCTTTCAAGTGTTCCAAGCGTGAATTACCTATTACTCTCATACATTGAAGGAGGAAAAAAACTTGAAACCCTATCAACAGTTTTAAAAGAAAACTATCATGTTTCTGAAGACAACATGTGTTTTATTATCAGTGATGTTCAAAGGAATCTCATTCCTTCCTTTAATAAACGATGGGCAGAAGCGTCCAGGAAAAAGGATTCGTTTCTAAAAAAGAACGAAAATTGGTTGGATTCTGAATATTTGGTAACCTTACCGAGCATTGAAGAAGTAACACCTGACATCACGCCATCTACTTCTTCTTGGAAACGCGGAAGACCCTGTGTCTCTTATGGAGACTCATCAGAATCCGAAACCAAAAAACGAAAATATACCGCGCTATTTAGTGAATATGGCTTTGAACACATTTGCAATGCCTATGTTCAGGGCTTACGTTCAATAGGAGAAGAAATAGAAGCAAAACTCGTGAAAAAGCTAAGGGTTGCTGACCGTGATGATACAAAGTCTCTATATTTGAATCTCATAGAAAACGCAAGCGAGAGCAAAATGCTAATGGATCAAGAAGCATTGAGTGTTTTCATTGACTTAGATTTAACGAAAGCACAATATATATACTTAAGGAATTTAACAAACGAACGAGACTGTGTTCTATTCCCACCATTTTATAAAATACAAGAAATCAATCAGACATGTTATCCACCATCTACAGCAATAGAAATTACAAATACACATGCAAAAGTACTAAACCTTCAAGATTTATTGGACCATACTGTAGCTAGGATTTTGGCCATAGATTCGGTGTATAAGAATGGATTGTGTCATTTAGTTTTATACAGTAAATGGGGATGTGATGGTTCATGGTCAAAGTCAGTACAAACAAAAACTTCCAGAGGAGTCTGAACTTGTTTCTGATGCAAATTTGTTTATTACGTCGTTAGTGCCTATTAAATTAGTCAATAAGCTTACTGGCGACATTGTCTGGCAAAATCCAGTGCCTTCGTCAGTCCGTTTTTGTCGGCCCATATCGATAGAATTTTGTAAAGAAACTCTTGAAAAAACTAAAGCTGTTGTTGATGCAATAAAGAACCAAATAATTTCCTTGCGGCCATCATTAATTAATAAAGAAGGTGAAGGAGTGAATGTGAAGCACGAACTCTTTCTGACTATGATAGATAGATGAGAACAGATACACCATCTGAATCCACGTGTACAATCTGTGGAGCTACTCCACGGCAAATGAATGATCTGACTAAAGTCACTAGCAGGCCAGAAAATGAAAATGCATATCAATACGGACTTTCCACATTGCATGCCTGGATTCGTTGTATGGAAATGGTATTACATATCTCATATAATCTTTCTTTTCGAACATGGTCAGCCACAAGTGAAGAAAAGAAAAGACAAAAGCAAGAAAAGAAAACCCTAGTACAAAAACTTTTTCGGGAGGAGCTAGGATTGATCATCGACAAACCACGACAAGGAAGTGGTAATACCAATGACGGTAATACTGCTAGACGATATTTTCACAACGCAAATTGTTCTTCTGAAATCACCGGAGTGGATGTGAATTTGATCAAAAGGTTCTATATTATTTTGCAAGCTCTTTCATCAGGCGTAATGATAAATGCAGAAAAATTTGGCAAATATGCCATGGAAACTGCCAGGATTTATGTACGTAATTATGAATGGTACTACATGCCATCTTCAGTACACAAAATTTTGATTCATGGTGAAAGTGTCATTAAGCATTTTGGTGTAATTCCTATTGGTCAACTTTCCGAAAATGCACAAGAATCCCGTAATAAGGATTATAAAAAATGTCGCCTACATCATGCCAGGAAGTGCTCTCGATCAACTACAAATGAGGCTGTATTTCATACTCTTCTCTACACATCAGATCCGTACATTTCCAGTCTTAGAAAAACATATAGCTAAAGTGTGAAGGCACTTGATGAAGATACCCTGGATCTTTTAAAAGTGAATGAACTCATTTTGGATCCTGAAGTTCAACAAGTATAATAAAACATAATATACACATTGACATACATACATTTCTAACATTATTTTACTTTTAAATTAGTATTTTGTAACTTTTTTTAGTATACGCGTTTGTAATCTTATAACTTTTAATTTCTTAATTAAATAGATAAGAGCTTAAACACGATTGTTTTTTTAAAGAACTAATGTAATAATACATTTTTATTAATAATATAAGTAGCGTTGTCCTTAAGAAAATCAAATAAAAGCTATTTCTGAAATATATTTTTTCATTTTTTTTCAAAAATAAACATACTCTTATGAAAGTATAACATCTGAACTTTAACTAAAGCAGTATTTAATACTCTATGCTTGTGTAAAAATTCAATAGTCTATCTTAACAAATAAGAAAGTTATTGATTTTTGATCTGAAATAGACCTCGATTTTCCATAGTGCAACGCCTCAGCACACACCGCCCAACGAACAATTAACTATTTGGCAACGTCAGGGGTAGAAATACTAGGTCAACCGCTATACCATCCAGACCTCGCATCATGCGATATTTATTTATTCCTGAAAATAAAGGAAAAACTCCGGGGAAAGCGATTCACTGACGCCGAGTAAACAGTGGCTGCATTTGAAGAGGCCGTAGAAGAGACCGCCAAAGAAGAGTGGGCTAAATTCTTCTCTCAGTGGTTCCAGCGAACGCAGCGACGTGTTGTTGTCATTGGACATTACTTTCATTTTAAAAATATTAACTTGCTAGTTTGCCCCTCGTATGATTAATACACAATATAAAAAATGTTTCGCCAACTTTTAAAGGCGATAGGATCTTTACAGTCTTATAAAAAACTAAATTCACTTTTCTTTATATGTATAGTTGCCTATCCATGTAATGTTATAATGATCATTGGCAACTGCAAGAGAGATTCAAGACCTCTTTCTCGAAATTTGTTTGAATTTGAAAACTCAACCCTATTCCTTCTAAATTTGTTGAACATTGCTCAACTTAACTAAATTGACTTGTAGAGAACACTTCAGACCAAGATAAAAGCTTTATGTAATTATTTAAAAGCATGGAAAAGCTTTTTGAGTATCTTGTAATCACTAGAACATAATATCAATAAAATTTTCATTGCCATAAGGTGGAATTTAAATTAAACTTCATTCAAAATGTTTTTCGAAATATTCTAGGCGTTATTGTTTTTTTAACTCTCGACGCAAAAAGCGCGGAGGGATAAGTTGAAGGCTATTTAATGTGTCTGAATATGCGTTAGGGATGCCGCGGATGTGGGTTTTGCCGATCAAGCCAGATGATCATTGGATTATCATTAATTTAAAAAGATATAATGTTTTTATATAATTCTGTTAGAAAAGACATGGATGGAATATTTAAAGTTTATGATGGACAAATTACACTTCAAAAACAATAATTTTCCAGGTTAGTCTATTTTTAAGGAAATCGTGAATTAAGCTCGCGCTGCTAAAAAGCTGTTCACTTTGGGTTATCTTGAGTAAAAAAGTTCCAAAAAACACTTTTTAAGGGATCGTTTATAGTAAACTTTTTTACGACAATCAATTTAAATTCAAACATAATGTTCCTAACTAGTCAACGTAAACTCAATGGTTATTTATTTGTTTAGACAACAAGCTGGTCATAATTCGGCTGCCCATTTCTGACGATCTTGTCGTGATCTGCAAAACTCTGCTTTGATGCATCTCGAGACGTCTGAGGTCTACTGTGCGTCTGTGTGTGGCATCGTAGGTTCCAAATGGATGAACTGATTTCCAAGCAGTTTTTTGTTTCATTTGAAGGCTAGTTTATACAAAACAGTTGTACAGCTATTTAAAGAACATCGGCTCTTTTCCCAGTTAGTGTTGTCGGTCATTGAATGAATACTCAATTTACTTCCACTTGTCCGAACCACTTGAAATTTGTTCTTCTTCTTCATGGCATGTCGACGCTGACGTTTATATTTAGTACTTAGCGACTGAGACAGCGTTATCAATGGCGTTGTACAGGTGTAGGGGCACGCAGAAGAAGACAAAAGATGTGCCATATAAATTTGGTATAGGTACTAAGAACATCCGATGACATTAGTTAACTGTAGTATTTATTCAGCCGTGTTTAAATATTTTTAATATCGGAGTCAAATTACCATCTTTATTGTTTCGTATCTAACGCGCAATCCTTTTATTATGCATCTTTTACTGCCGAAGAATTTCATTAAACGGAATTGTACTTTGTAGTTTAAGTATTTTTTAACGAAATCTTTCTTTGCATTTATCCATTTGGACGCTCAGGCGCGAGCTTACGTTATCACCACGTTCACCGTTTTTTTTTATTGTTTATATTAGGAGCCGCGATAAGGCGCGTGTAATATAAACACTTGAAACTCGAGAACCAATTAGGCTACGGCAAAAAAAATAACATGAGCGATAAGAGCACTTAAGTAGCTTTTGCTTAGACCACAGTTATGATTGTAATATGACGACTTTATTTGCTAACTTCCGAGTACTCCGAATACTTCTGAGAAATTTTCATAGCGTTTCACGATTTAGCTCTTAAACTTTAAGAAGATCAAAGTCAATGTTAAAATCCAATAATCATTTATTCCATAGATAAAATTTTTACACTTCAAAACGTAATATTTTAAGCTATTGTTCGTTCACTGTGCCGAGTTCCCCGAGAAGAACGAGCAAGAAACTCTTGGGATTGCTCTTTTCAAATAAACTTAAATGCTATCAAATACATTTCGAATCATATTTATGTGGAATCTAGACTCATGTTGTCTTTCTATACATCTTCATCTAACACGTAGTCTGCAATTTTAATGTAAGTTTTAAACTTAGAAAATGGTACTTTTAATATATGCTCCGGAATCTTATTGTAATAACATATACAGTTCCTCATAAAATAATCCATTGGTATTTTAAATTGTAAAAAAATATTTATGATATGATCTTAATCCATTCATCCACAGGGTTCATGAAACCAAGTCTAACGGAACATGTATACGGCAACAATGGTCTTTTGGACCAGCTAGCAGCACTGCAGTGGATCAAGGACAACATTGAGGACCTGAATGGAGATCCTCGGTCAGTGACGTTGATGGGGCATGGCACTGGTGCTGCATGTGTCAATTATCTGATGATGTCACCTATTAGTAATGGTAAGGGTTGATCTTCTTTTTCGTCTTCTTAGCGTATCCAATGCTAAAAATCCATTTAGCAATCGGCGTAAGGTATTCGCCGGTTGTTGTCCAGGATGCGCCAGAGGTACAAGAAAGGAATGGTACAGTCGGTGCCCTCACTTAGATATCCACTATTTGTATACCACTTAGTACAAATAGCCGATAAATAAGTGAGGGCACCGACTGCACGCCTTGCGGGGAGGCTCCTTTTATTTTTGCACCCCTTTCTAAGAACAGAACTTTTTTTTAACGCACACACTCAACATAGCACTGCACTAAGGAAACCCTGTGTCACGGGTGCCATGGACTCAGACATAGACAACCACAAATTACACTCAAACTCACGAGAGAAATAAATGTAGGCCATTCATATATTTCTCCCGGCTCGGGAATCGAACCTCGTACCTCTGCGTGGCAGTCCGGCATGGTAACTGTTCGGCTACGGAGGCAGTTGACTGAAATGAAGAATTTATAGCAATTTTACAGACAGGAGTCATGAGAATCACTGTTAACATGTGTATCGTATGTGGAGAGCACTGCGTTAGAATGGCTTCACAGTTTTCTCGGCCTGGTGGATTAACTTATCTATATTTGCTACGTGGTGCGCACTGTAAGTTTCCGGAGTGAATAAGAAAAAAATACTATAAATAGGTAGAAATGAATTTATTGTTTCTCAAAATATTCTCCGTTAGCGTTAATGCACTTTTTCATACGAATCAACCAATTTTGAAAACATTTATGCCACTCCCCCGTGACAATCTCTGAAACATATTTTTCATACACTTCAACAGCCGTTTGTTGATACTTCTCCAATTTGCAGCATTTTAGATACTTCTGCGCTTCTTCTGCTGCTTCGTTGATACTCCATCGAAAAGCAGTAGGCGGAAACTACACAAAAAGCACTGAGAAATCGCATTGTAAAGCCCATACTTATTTGGTTTAAGATACCTTTCCAAAGAAACATTTAATGTTTTCTCCCTGAACCTATGCGACGATGTCCTTCTCTTGGTTCCTTCAAACGACGTACTAAGGAATATTTACTTAACTCCTAAGTTTTTTTATCTTTAATCTCTTCATTAGCTTCTTTATTACATCTTCCATTTTAGTGTTCACTTGAAAAATTAAAAAATATTAAAGAAACTGAAAAAGAAATATAATGAATTCGTCCAGTGCGTTCACAACTAATCTGCAGATAACTACGGAATACATGGACCTCAGTATTAGTCTACCACAACCCATAATGGTTCAGATTGACACCTGAATTAAAACGACCACAAAATTTTGTTCGAAATAGAAACTGTTGGCGATGAAAAATTCGGTACAATGTAAAGACAGTCTTTAACATACTCACATACAATACGACCACTTAACATGCCTAAGCTGTGCGACGAGCATTTTCTGCATTCCGGTTGCTTTCCGGCGTTCCCCAAGACAACTTGCGAACTATCCGAAAAAACCAAAGTTTCCGTCTTTCTATTTCAAGATCGATTTAATCCTAATTAAGTTTTACTAATGAGTTGTTTGCAAGAACTTTCTGCACCATTTAACTTTCTAATTGTTCCAAAGTTTGTTTTCAGAAGCCTCAAGTTTCTTTCGTTGGCTAATGAAAACTGAATTAAACACTGTGTCGATTTAACTATTCTTACTTTTAATTTATTTGTATTAAAAGGGACAAATTTAAAGAACAACATCTGGAACATAGTGAAAATAAATAAAAAATGTTTAAAGTAAAATAATGCCAAGTAATCACATCAATTTCCTGATCTCAAATTACGGATTACCAAAACAACAAAATTAGCTCCGGGAGTACTTCCCAAATCACCCAGACAAAAAAAACAGTTCTTTTTAAAGTATGTCATTCTTATTATCTAGTGGCCACAATACAAACTGCTAAGCGACCAGGTTTCCCCATGTATTCAAATTTTCGGTTCCAGCAATCTCATTTGAATTTAAAGGTAGAATAGAAAGATTATAATTGCTTATTTACAGAAGCTATAAAAAACTTAAATCTTAATGTTCAAGCTATGAGCTTTGGCGAGAAGCTTATAAATATTTGTGTATACCTACCTTTATTTTCTTCCAGGTCTCTTCCACCGAGCGATCCTGATGTCAGGCTCGGCGTTATCAGACTGGGCAATGACGAAAGACCCTACGCAGTTTACGATGCAAGTGGCTCAAATTTCGGGCTGCAACCCAAGTTCGAAAAACATGATGTCTTGTCTGCAGAATAAGCCGTTAGTTTTATAACCGATACTTGAGCTATAATTAGACAATCAGCGGCAATTGCCAAGTTGATCTAACCACGGAAGAAAAAACAATGGAAGTACTCGTACCTTACGCCTCGATTACAATCAGAACCGCTGTCGCCAAAACTCACACATACATAATTTTCAACACTATGAAATCTGGCTAATATTTGGTCATGGTTTCTAATTTAAAAAGAAGTAACATTCTGGACTGTTAATATAATTTAAATTTTACCCTGTTGGCATATCGTTGACAGTATAATTCCTATTATTGCAAGTTACGACATTTTCATTTTATATTGAAATTCCAATCAGTGTGCCAATGAGCCATCTGGCGGTCCTTAGCTGAACGACGACGAACACGAGTAGCGTGGAAAACTCGAGATGTTTACGTTCTCCAATAAAGAAGGGACCATATTAAAGCAGTATAAGGTTTATTTTCTTTTCTTGTAACAAAAAATATGACGATAAAGTCAGTGCCTCCGGTGAAAAAGGGAATAACTCAAAATCGACACTTTTCAGGAGACACAAAAAACCATACTTTTATTGATTGTTGGTTGTTCGCATTTGTTATTAGCATTTTTTATGATTTCTAGCTTTAGGTATACGTAAGCTTTCGTTAGATAGGTAATGGTTAAACATCCAGTCATACTTTCAATGTCCTTGTTTACGAAGAGCTTAAAAATACAACACGACTTATGTTAACAAATTTTAAGACAAAACAACTTATTCCTTTAGCTGTTCTATGGTTATAACAATACTTATGACACTCATCTTTAGCACAAACAAAGAAATAGTGCGACTTATTCAAGCAAATAAAAAATGTGTCTGGAAACAACTATGCGGTAAAAATAACGAAATTGTATAAACATATGTATTGTATTTGTATTGTATATGTATTGTACAAAAAAAAATTGAAAATGTATGTTACATTAATCTACATTTGTCGTTGAAATAATTATAATCGTTTAAATCTGAGTCTTCATCGGCTCTTACCATTTTGGTACTTGGTAGACAAAATTTATGACATTTACTGTCAATTAATGGTAGAAGAGCCAGAAGATCCTTCTTTTTCTCAACGCTTATGGGGAGGGGAGAAGTTTGTAGGATCTGTTTGTCAACAAATAACTAAGATCTTTGACTCTTCCGAATGTCGAGTATGTACTCGATCTTCAGAATCTCTGGAATGAAAGACTTTAGAAAATATTTTTACACTAGCTATTACCGGTTCTTTCGTTCACTATTTATTATTGTTGTATTATATATAGCTCGATTACCACTGATTGACTGACCCAGTGATTTAGATAGTTGTTCTCCCAGAAGGAGTAGCGGTGGGTAAAAATGATGTACGGGAGACATGGTCGGATGGCTCCGGTGAGTACCAGAAAAATCCGAAATTTTCGAAAAGTGGACTGCATCAGGTGGGACCCTGGCTGCGCGGCTAAAGTATAACACCTACCGGCAAAGTCATCGAACTAAAAATGGCCGCCACCTTGGGCAGTTTCTACCGGAAGTGAAAAAAATTCAAAATTCGAATAAACAAGATGGCCGCCATAAAAATTTCAGAGCCCTATAGCTCGGCGAGTATTGGAGATAGGTGGGGGGTCCTCGACCAAATATCATAGAGGGTAGTGGGGGTCAACTGCTGGTGAAAAATTTTTTCAAGATGGCCAACTCCAAATGGGGACCCAAAATAAAAGTGCTCAGATCCGACTGAAATTTGGCATGCGGCCGTGTATGGGAGTCCACAATAGGAAACTAGGGTCAAAATTTCGATTTCGCCATTTTCCAAGATGGCCGCCATACATGTGAATTTTCTGCCCTTTGGAGTCATTTTTCTCCCAGAAGAAGTGCGGATTGGTAAAAATGATGTAGGGGAATTATACTCGGACGGATTTGATGAATATCAGAAGGTAACGTCTTCTTCGGAAGATCTCTCGAATCTTCGGAAAGTGCTCCGCATCAGGTAGCACCCCTGCTGCCTGGCCAAAGTATGCGTCTTGGCTCAAAGTCTCCAAACAAATGTTCATCCACACCCTGAACAGTTTCTAAAGGGAGTGAAAATAATTCAAAATTCGAAAAACAAAATAGCCGCCATACAAATTTCGAGGGCCTGTACGTCGGAAACTACTAGAGATAGGTAGAACGTGTTCAAACTAATGTCGTAGAGGGCGACAGGATCGAACTGGCTGTCGAAATTATGGTTTCAAAATGGCCGATTCAAGATGGAGGCCCAACAAAAAGCTGCTCCGATCCGGCTGAAATTTTATACCCTTTCATGTTTGGGAGCTCGTAATACGAATTTGCGGTCAACTTCTAGATTTCGCCATTTTCCAATATGGCCGCCATATATTTTCCATAGTCCACTATGTTCCGAGGCCTACATCTCGGCGAGTATTGGAGATAGATGAGAGGCAAAAAAGCAAATGTCATACAGAATAGCACGAGCCGACTGCAGGTAAAAAAAAATTTTCTAGATGGCGGACTCAAAATGGCGGCCCGAAATAAAAATGCTACGATCCAACTGAAATTTGAAAACCGATCGTGTATGGAGGTTCATAGTATGTATCTGCGAGCGAAATTTGGATCCCGCCATTTTCCAAGATGGCCATATAAGTGAATTTTCGGTTTTTTGACCAGCATTTTTCTCCCAGAAGAAGAGCGGGTATATAAGAGTAATGTATGCGAATAATGGTTGGGTTGATTTAGTAAGTATCAGAAAGTACCGAAACCTTCGGAAAATATGAAAGAGTGATCAACGGTCAGCAAAAACTATAATATATGGAGGGAATATTTGTACACTTTTATGAGGTACAGGGTGTACCTCATAAAAGTGTACAATTGGTGGTCTATTTCCGCCGGAAGTAAAAAATATTCGAAATTCAAGTAAATAAGATGGCCGCTATACAAATTTCAAAGCCTCCTATCACGGAAACTATTAGAGATAGGTAGGAGGTGCTCGAAGGAATGTCATAGAGATTAATAGTGGTCAACTGCGTGGGTTAAAAAAAACAAGATGGCGAATTCAAAATGGCGGCCGAAGAAAAACTTGCTTCGATCCGGCTGAAAATTGGTCCTAGGAGTCCTTAACCATAATTTGGGGTCAAAAGTTTCTTTACGCCATTTTTAATAAGGCTGTCATATAAGCGTTTTTTTCTTTAAAAGTGGCTGCCGAAACGGACTTGCTCTGATTTGGCTGAAAATTGGCATGGGGAGGCCTCTAGAAGTGCCGCATAATAATTTGTGGTCAAAATTGGTTTTTCGCAATTTTCAAATATGGCCGCTATAGAAGTGTTCGTTGGCGGCAGAAAAAAAATTGCTCTGATCCGTTTGAAAATTGACATGTGTGGGTTTCTATAAAATTGTTTCAAAGGTTGATAATAATTTGTGATCAAAAATGGTTTTACGCCATTTTTTAATATGGCCGCCATTCAACAACTAATCAAAAATAGCTCTAATTCAACTGAAAATCAATATGTGAGGATCGCTATAGGTGTTTGATAATAATTTGCGGTCGAAATTTATTTTTCGCCTTTTTTCAATATGGCTGCCATACAAACTTTTGTGGCGGTAGATAAAAAATTCTTCTAATTCGACTGAAAATGGCGTGGCTTCAATCACAATTTGGGGTAAAATTTTGTTTCTGCCGTTTTTCGATATAGCCGTAATTTTTTTATGTAAATGGCTATTAAAAAAACTTGCTTTGCTCGGATTGAAAATTGCCACGAAAAGATTTCTAAAATTGTTATCAAACAATCTTAGAAATCTTTTCCATGGCAATAATTAGTGGTCAAAATACATTTTTGCAATTTTTAAATATGGCCGTTATTAATTGCTATTTCAATTTTTTAAAAACATAGCCATAAGTCCGAAGCGTCCGCACGTCATCAAATGGAGATAAAGGAAATATACGGAGACGTAATAGATTACGAGTACAAGATCTCACAATTGTAAAAATGTAAAGCATGCTTCCCGATATAGTGGAAATGAGATACTTATTATAGCGTTGTTGTATCTCAACCGTCTCTATGTTAGATTTCATTTTCTTGAAAGCTATGCCAAAGAGAAGTATTTAGGGGGAAAAATGCTAAACTACTGCCGAATTTCCTGTACTATGTAGTTACTACGAATACCAAATCAACTATAACCCAGAATACTCAGACCAAAACCAACTTAGAAAAGTTCGTTTCTTAAATTGGCATAAATCGGGAACCGACCTCCTCATCAAGCGCCCATAGTACTAACTGCTGTGCCACCGAAGAGCATGAGCACACCTCGTAAACTGAAACCGACCACGCGCCGTAGGCCGAGCCCGAGTACGAGCCCTGTTGGTGAGGTACAGGTCTCGTGTGTATATATATATATATATATATATATATTGCTATTGTAAAAGTAGCAAACTTACGTCACAAATATTACTTCTTGGTTCAATAATTCCAAGTTCTTGATCCGTAATTAACTCCATCTGCAATGAAAGCAAAGAAAAAGTAAACAACTGTATACATGACTACTAAAATAATAACAAAAGATTGACTAAAAATAGGAAAAACGTATAGGTACATATAAATTATACCTAAAAGTTGTTATTGTAGGGACTATAGGTTACTTACACTAATCTACTTAGTCATAAGTTTGTAATTAAATATTATATGTAAGTATTGATATAAGTGGTGTATTCATTATTGATTACCTCTCGATCGCGATGTTGTTCAATATCACTGTAGCTATGATCAAACGATTGGCATGGATTTCTAATAAAAAAGGACCAAACATTACTCTCAGAATAAAGTACATAATTAGGGTGATATTTATCATCAAATAAAAATATATAATAGGGCAAACAACGGTACCTATCTTTTAAATTAAAGATGTCTCGAATTATAACGGCAAGGAAGTAGGGATTCGCCCAACGGTTGGCAAAATTACATATTTATTATATTAGGGGTTAAAGTATGAAATTGCCGTTTTATTGCAATAGGTTCTTTGAATTTTCATAGAATCTTCATGGTTTGAGGTTTTCGAATGAAACTTTTTTCAAATGGTTTCTGTGATTTTTTTTTTAAATTTGAAACATTTGAATATCGACTTTCAATTGTTTTTGTTATTCAATTTAGACAAGAAAGATGGATACTGCGAAAATTCGAGTGATTTTTGAATACGAGTTCCGACGCGGAACTAACGCGGCAGAAACAGCCCGCAATATCAATGCTGCGTTTGGAGAGGGGTCTACTAATGAACGCACCGTGCGATTTTGGTTTAAACGCTTTCGTGATGGAAATTTCGACTTAAAGAACGAGCCACGAGGAAGACCGCCCACACAGGTGAATAACGATGAATTAAGAGAGATAGTGGAAGCCGATCCTAGTCAAACTACCCAGGAATTAGCGGCATGGTTTAACGTTACCTTACCCACAATATTGACTCCTTGCGTCAAATCAATAAAATAAAAAAATACGAAAAATGGGTGCCTCATGATTTGACTGATCTGCAGAAAGAAACGCGTGTTGAAACTTGTGTTGCCTTGTTGAACCGGTACAGAAATGAAGGAATATTGGATCGAATTGTAACATGTGATGAAAAGTGGATTCTTTATGATAACCGGAAAAGAAAAATGCAATGGCTGACCCCAGGTCAAATGCCACAACAGTGTCCTAAAGCAAAACTTACCAATAAAAAGGTAATGGTAACTGTTTGGTGGTCTCAGCATGGTGTTATTCACTATAGTTTTCTCCGATCTGGTCAAGCAATAACGGCAGATGTCTATTGTGCCGAACTCCGAACCATGTTGACAAAACTAGCAGTAAAACAGCCCCGAGTCATGAAATCTTCACCATTATTGCTCCACGACAACGCGAGACCTCACACAGCACGAGAAACCATTTTGACCCTTCAGGAACTGCAGTTGGAAACCATTCGTCATCCTCCGTATTCACCAGACCTTGCTCCAACGGACTACCATTATATCGTGATTTGGACAATTACCTACGTGACAATAAGTTTTCTTCCCAGGAGGCAGTACAAAATGCTTTCACACAGTTTGTGCAGTCTAGATCGTCGGAGTTCTATCGCAAAGGCATTAATAACCTTCCCATTAGATGGCAGCAATGTATAGATAATAATGGCAACTATTTTGATTAAATAAATTTGTTAAAAATTTAAAAAATAAACAATTTAGATTTTCAGTACAAATCGGCAATTTCATACTTTAACCCCTATTATGTAAGAATACAATTTTATTCTAATACTTACCATTTTAGGAAGATTATTGATTATTTTTTGCCCTCTATACATTTTTGCACCAAAATTATAATTATAACACGAATAAGCACTCACACTGTTCTCAGACGCTATCAAGTTGTTGTAACAAACATCATGCTCCGGATTCAAAGTTAGTCCTGGTTTAAATTATTTTCAACCCGATTATTTGTTGTCGTTTTGATAAAACATCAACTTAGCCAATCGAAACTAATATTATAAATACGAAAGTAACTATGTTGAGTGAGTTATGCCTTTATGTACACTATGGAATAAGGGAATAGTCCCTTTAATCCTACCTTTCCCCGTCATTATGGAACAACACGAAAAGTGTCTTTATGTAAAAGTATATTTGTAGTTATTCGTTAAACTTGAATGCATTTTTTGAATTGAGAGCACTTGTACCTTTAAACTCATAAAAAACGCCCGACAACTATTATTATACCATTAGAAACAATGAGCTATGCCCTATATAAAGAACGAGGTTAGGAGACTGCTAGAGACATGTCCTTTTGATATCTTATGTAATCGGACACGCTGAAGCCAATGGTGCAATGAAAACAAAAGGGCGTAAACTCGTCTTATTCCGTTTTTCACTGGAGGCACTGAACTATTAAAATTAAATTAAATAATACTTAACGATGGTACGAAACACTATCATAGACATGTGCGACTATCACTATTATATTCCAAAGTAGCAAAATATCATTGACTTACAAATAAATGGACGACGGGTCTAATACAAAAACCACGAAAAAAATGTCCCAAGTCAACCTATTTAAACGTAGTGACATGTCAAGGAATATGAAAACGCTAAAACGTTGAATTTAAATTGTAATGTCATCGCAGTACTGTCTAATTTTGCTTGCTTCGCTGTCAGTCGAACAAACGAAGACTAAAGCGTGAATGAAGCTCTGTATACGATTTTAACGCCCTATAAGTTCGGACACTTTTTAGCGCGGACTCGACGTCCATATAATTGTAAGTCTATGCAAAATATGGAATTTGTGTACGATTTTCTAGGTCTTGCGCGAGATGTTGACACGATCATAACGTACAAAGCGAAAATGGCAGACTGAGCTTAAATATGTGGCACTTCGCGTACTGTTGGCACACGTACCACGCAAACTAAGCACTTCTACTGTATTTTTTGTTCTGTGCTTGGCTCCTTGATAAGAGATCCTTTGTTGAAAAACGATCGGGGCGTATACTGCTGAATATTTTGGAATTATTAATTACTAGCTGGTGCCCGTTATTTCGTCTGCGTGGAATAAAAACTTCGAGTAGTCTTCTGTACTTAACTAATTTTCAAAGTTTTTGTGGTTTTTCATACAAACTGTCATCCCCTATTTTACCCCTTTAAGATTTATTTTTGTGACAAAATGTAGCCTATGTCTTATATATCTTCATACCAAAATTTATGAACATTGGTTCACTTGTTATCTAATATAGATCCCTAATATAGATCTTAGCTCTGAAAAAGATCAAAATTCCGTCTTGTATTTACATTGTGGTTTACGTTATGCAAACGGCAGTGGATATCAATTAATTACTTTTTAATATGAAATATAAGAAGTCAGTTTTTTTTCTGTATCATTATTTAAATATTGATCATGAGCTATAGTTATTTTCTGAACTTTGACAAATATGCGCTGTCATTAGATGGCATTATGTGTTTGTAACTAATTTATAAATTAACGCTTCCTAATATGGATAGATGGCGCTAATCTTAAACAGAATAAAAGAAGAGCAGGCAGTATCCATAAAAATCTGTGCAATAAGCGCAATCACCATGATTCGTTTGTTATCACTAGAAATTAGAATAGCTTTGACAAATTGGAGCTAGTCAATATAACAGAAATTAATTACAATAATCTCAGTACAGAGTACTAAAAAACCGACCTCAAAAGTCATTCGTCCCCTAATTTACAACCCTTAAAGCTGAAATATGTTTTTGAAATTTAAATGGGACCAGTACAGAGGTACCATCTTTCCAACAATAAAAGAGTTATCAAAATCAGTTCACAAATACAAAACATGTAATGACAGAACAAAACATGTAACAAACTTACAAAAAAAATATACAGTCGAATTAATAACCATCTCCTTGTTTTGAAGCCAGTTAAAAATAGCTATTTAGTACTCGTCGCGACATCTGGTATACTAATGGGGACTAAATACCCGTCTTGTATCGCGATTAGTTGTCCCCTTGAGTTAATAGTCCATCGTATAGATTTAGTTTTTGAAATCATCCCTTTATAAGGTTAGAAAAGTCGCTGAAGTTTCTAAGACTTTTCAGAAACGTATAAAGAGCTCAATATGCATTCGACTGATATAGTGGACTTTTTCTTTAACCTCCTTCTTATAGATCGTATAAGAAATGATGGTGATAATATAATGGACTTCAAAATTACATGCCCATTCAAACAAAGGTCAGTTTACACAGTTTCGGGTCAGAGCCCTTCGGGTACCCGGGTTGGGTTCAGTATCCCGTAAAAAAGAATTGCGTGCATAGATTTTATATGAAATCGTTCACACTTGTCCAAAAAGCCGTGACCCGGAACTATGTGGACGAACGTTAAAAATTATCTTCAAATTTAATACTCTGAGACATTAATTTTTATTTTTATCTCATCCACATGTGAACCGAGTGTTTAGATTAAACAATTTTGCTGTCCGACGTATTGTACGGTCTTGTAATTTATTTAAATATTTCAGGTTATCAGAAATTAAGAGAGTGCAAATTCTTGCAAGAGATTTTGAAACTCCTCTAGCACCGATTGTTGCTGGTTCTTTTATTCCGAACGAGCCTGCTAAGATTATGGAATCGTTTCCGAATTTGTTAAGCAAGTAAGACACGTTTTTTTTACATTTTTCATATTAATAACTGTCCGTTACCGAACGGTTATTATGCTGGGCTGCCATGCAGAGGTCCCAGGTTCGATTCCCGGGGCGGGAGAAATGTTTGTATGGCCTTATTTATTTCTCTAGTGAGTTTGGGTGTAATTTTGGTTGTCTATGTGTGTATCCATGGCAGCCGCGCGATACAAGGTCTTCCTAATGCGGGACTTGCAGGATTGTTTATTCAAAAGAAAAATAATATCATCATTCGAGGCCGCATGCGTGGTCCCGGGTTTGAGCCCCGGCCGGGTCAATGTTCTTCGATGTTGACTCGGGTCTAGGTGTTTGTGGTACAGTCGTTATTTTGCGATTTCTATTACACATGTGCTTTAGTTACTTAGTTTGGGATCGGACCAACAAATGTTGTCTAATGTTTATTTATATTTATTTATTATTTATCATGATATTATTATTTATTCACCAGATGTCAAAGAAGAAAAAAGAAAGGATAACATGTTTCGATTTTAAAATATTATTCAGGATGAATAGAATGTTAAGGAGTCTTGGTTAAAAAGTCGATCATGTCCTTGGCTGCTGCCTGGAACTTGGCTTATGTACTCCATAAATCACGATAAAATTTTAACTAACTCCATTACAAACTGGACTACCACGGGGTCGTCCCGGGCTCGATTCCCGCGATAGGAGAAATATTTATATGCCCTACATTTATTTCTCTCGCGAGCTATGGTGTAATTTGTGGTTATCTATGTTATATGTCCAAGGCATTTTCTTTTAAGATAAATTAATGTACCATCAATAACATCAATTCAATATTACCAATGAATGAAGTCATTCTACATTTTCTCACCAAAGTTAGAAAATCTCTCCTAGAAAATCTTCCAATATCTCAATCTGCAAGTACATTCAACTTAACTGCAGCAGCCAACAAGTTTTGTCGCCAACTGTTACTCGTGCAATAAAGTTCCGATCGCCGTAGAACTGAGATTAAAACCAAAGTAAGGTGAATTTATCTTTTGAGTGCTTACTTACGCTCCTTTACGGTTTTCGATTGAGTGTCATTACCTTCTATGCACAATCGTTGGAGTGAACTTGGTCCGAGATATCCGAGAAAAATAGCTTAATTTCCTTTTTATTAAAATTTCTCTTAGAAAAAGTTCTATTAGAAACTTTCAGTTGGCTCTTGAAGCCTCCAGTGACCAGTGGGCTGGTAGCTACTTCCGCCAAAGAATAAGCTTAGCTATCCAAAAGGGAAATGCCATCCCGCTGGACATGTTTCCGCAGGACTCTGCCTCGATGGCATTTTCTACCTTTTACTAGAAAAGACTTTCTTTTTTTCTACTGAGCATATTTAATAAACGATTTCCTGTATTTGATATATTATCGATTAGTATTAAAATTAGAAAAGTTGCCTACAGATTTCATCGACATTGTCGATCGTTACTGTTGATCGACATGATGTTTTGGGACAGAAATTTTGCCGCATCTTTACTTGTAAAGTTGCAAGTACATGTACAAGTACAGCTTTACAAGTAAACATGCGGTAAAGTTTCTGTCTCAATGCTGCACTTGGTAGATATTTTTCAGTTAGTTACCTAGCCGTTTAGTTTTCCAGATAGTTTTGTTTTATTTTAACTCTAAAACATTGAATAGAAGACAGATTGCGCAGGGGAGGGGGGATATTGTTCTATATTTTAGCGGCGACATTTTGAAAGTAACCTTATAGGCAGATGTATTATGAAGCGGGACTATGAGAACAATATTACGAGTAGGGCGAGATAATTTTTTGTTTTCTAGAGGACCAGGTAAACTTATTGTACAGTTAAGAGGGTTTGCCGACCCGATCGCCTAGATTACATTCAGCAGTTTGGGATGATTGTTGAGTGGTGCAATTATGTACTTCAATTAAATTCTCGCATATTACATACACATAGATTATGTGTATGGACGTCAAATGTGTTTCATAACCTAACCTATCATGACTTGGTTTGTAAAATACGTTACTTCCAACATTTTAGGACCGTGCCTTTTTTGAAGTTTTAAAAAAATATATATTATAAAGCAATTTGCATAATTATTATCTTATGCAAATGAAATCAGCCATAAGATCCAGAATCTTTAATAAAGTTGTAAGTAATTTTTTCCAGATATCAGGTCCTCAGCGGAGTAACAGAATATGAAAGATACCATGACTTTGGAGTAATAGAGCTTGACCACGGTGTATTAGAAAACCAAAGAGATGAGTTCATTAAAAATTATGCCAAAGTCGTTTTTGGTGTTATCGATGACGTGATTTTAAAGGAGATTTTAAAACAGTAAGTTTATCATTTAATTTATACCAACTTCTGCTGTTTCGGTTTTTTTTTTGCTTCTTATTTTATTTTTATCTCTGAGTGGCACTGCAACTGTTATGGACAGGCGTGTAGCTTAACATCAGGCGCACAACTTGTTCGTCCCGTCACTTGATATTATAAAAAAAAGGTACGGTTAACGTAAATGATGTACAGTATTTTTTGTGAATATGGTACTATTAGTTTAAAAGAAAAATAACCAATGGCGTTTACTATGGAGGATTCTTTGTAGCCACGCCAGGTATTATTAATGAATGAATTAATTAATGAAATATTCTTGATTGTACATTAATATTACAATATAATTATTAATACTAGTTTCTGCCGCCAAGCAGTAATGTGACATTACTGTGTTCCGGTTTTGAAGGGTAAGGGTGATGGTAAAATTACAGACACATGGGCCTTGTCAATTTATGTCTCAGAGTAACGGGCGCGGTTGCAGTGCCCCATATACTTTTTTCTTTTAGTTTTATTTATTGTCCGGAATATCCAGTTTATATATATTAAGAGTACAATTCTCCAAACCTTTACTGCCAGTCAAGTAATTTTACTGTGACCAAAAATTTTGTATACACAAATCTTTTTAAATTGTTTTTGAAATCTGTTATTATATAGGATTTATTCCCGTTTAGCTTATTGAATTAATTTAATTTACAGATACGCACCATCAAAACTAGATCCTCAACGTTGGTCGGTAGAAGCCAATCGTGACGTCATCCTAAACGTGTTCAGTGACTCCAGGACTTTAGCGCCTATGATCCGGTTTGCCAACTATCAATCAAAATCCAATAGGCAATCGTATTTCTATGTGTTTGGACACAATTCTATCAGCACTGATTATGCTGGGGTTAGTACTTTTTGTTATTCATAGAAAACTGACATCTGTAGCGTTTCGTTTTCATTCCGAATCCGAGACTACAAATCTCGAAAAGAAAACTGGGACACGCTTCGGATGTCACTTGTGCACTAAGTCCGACTCGAATCCGAGAAAATTCGAATATCTCTTGTACATCTAGAGATAAAATATTCCCTGTGACATTTCGGACCGTTATTTCTTAGATTCAGAACTGGGGGTCTACTCACGATCTCCGTCCGACATCCGTCCGAAACAATTACTGTCAAATAAGTAATATTCGACAAAATTAAAAGACAAGTATCAAGAATGAAGCTTCATTCGCATCACGCGTCTTTTCATTTGGTCAAGTAGTGCTTATTTGGCAGTAATTGTTTCGGACGGAGAGTAGATCCCCTGATACGAATTGGAGGTAGTGTGTAAACGTTCTTACTATGTAAAATTCTTCAATACAACGAAATGTTGGTATCTGCTAGTACTTACATTTAATAGGTACTAGCGGGCACTGACATACCCGGTGCTGCAAGATCTCTAACTGACGTTGCAAAGTTTACAATGTATCAAAAGACTCAAAAGTCATTTATAAATCAAGTTGCTTGTATGTACCGTACATTATCGTAATTACAATCTCCTGGTGCTTCGAGATCGCGTTTTTTATCACTGTTAAAAACGTAATTTAAACAAACTTTCTTCCGTTTTGCAACGACTTAAGAAACCAATTTTCATTTGAATGCGTTTGATTAAATTCTTTTTCGTAACACAAAATGGTATTCATACAGTTTATACAATTAAAAAATTCCCAACCTGTTGATTGAATTTAAGCACCCGTAACAAATTCTTACAACGTTTCGTTACAATTCGTTGATTTTTTGCTGTTCCGTTCTTTTATTCCAGAAATTTACAAAAAATACTCGACGAAAAGTATTTTCAATGTAACTTTTCAGCATTTTTTGTCATTTGTTAAGTCTATCATTGACGAGCACCTGTTGAAAACGGGAGTTTTAAAAGAGCTTCAGAAATTCGTCGTTACCGACAGTTTCTGTATTTTCTTTTTTACTCGTTTTGGTTTAAATAGCGACACCGAGCCACGTTTGTGATTTGCAGTTTTTATCTTCGGTTTTATAAGTTTGCTTATGAACATCTTTCTATTACATATTTTGTATTCATCATCTTCAGCAACGAGCGCAGAGTCATCTCGAAAGTTTTGTCTATAGTTTCTTACTCATTCTTCTCATGGGAATCTGCCTTACCAATAAGTAGTAGAGTTCAAGCAATGTGACTATTTCAACTGTAATTTCCTCTCAAATCTGTCAACTATTGCTTAGTGAAGAAGTACTGTTTGACAGTTGAAGTAGTTTAGATGTTAGCCCCTTGTGCTTTTAAACAGATACGCTATATGGTTAGTAATACAAAGATCGAACACATAGAAAAACTTACTCGACCCGATGAGACTTGAACCCACGACCATACTGCATCGTAGTATTGCTCTTACCAACTGAGCTACGAATGAAGTTATCAAGTTGTCGAAATTCTTCATGTGTTTTTGTTAAAGATGTTTGTACCAAGTACTGGCAATCTGCGTCATGGTTCAAATCCCATCGTGTTCAAAAAGCTTTTCTATGTGTTAATAATCATAATAATAAAAACTAGTGGAGTTATTTCACATAAAAAATATCACAACAATACAAGATACGCTATAATGATTGTTTATTATTTTCAGCTAAACAAAAGCGTGAATGGAGAAGAGCTACCTTACGTCTTTGGCGTCCCACTAGGAGGTGCCTACACCCACTTTCATTCTGATTATACGCAGAAAGAGAAGCTATTGAGTGAAGTCATTATGAGACTGTGGACAAATTTTATTAAAATGGGGTAGGTGTATACTGAAAGTGCTTGTCTTAATACAAAACAAATAATAAAAATACCAGAAAATGATCATTTCAAACTAAGAAATTCCATTTACTCAGAAGTACAAGAATAATGAAATAAACTGAAAACTTTTTGAAATCCGATTATTGTATAAGCTTACGACTGATCTAATTTACTTCAGATAAATATTTTGGTTCCTTAGCTGAAGATCAATAATAATTGAGATTATTTTAACAAATTTGATGAGAGCAAGAATATTTAACTACGTAAGACTCTTCAATAAACTTTATTTTCGGAATCGAATTACACAGGCTGATTTTTTATCACTAGCCAAATTTTAATATTATGATATTAAAATATTATATTACGATTAATATTAATATTACGATCGTTGATGAAAATATAACGTAACGTAACGTAAAGGAGTAGTGCTTGGCATTGTAAAACCACACAGGTATAACGTTCGTTCCGTAGTTCGCCTATTAACCTATGATGCCCTTATCCTGAGTTGTTTACCCTTCGCCTCAGCTGACATTGCAGACTCAGCTATATTTTCATTCATTCATGTGTTGTATTGACTAGGCAACAAAACATTGTCGATTATTATTTTGGAGTCTTTGAATGATACCTATTGCGTAGAAAAAATTTGGCTACTGATTAATAAGCCAGTATATAGACAATGCGTCAAACGTAGAAGATATGGATCATTACGTGCTTGTGCAGATTTACTTTTTTAAATAAATCTATGTTTGGATTCATAAAAACAGCAACTTAATGTGATACAGAACGGATCTTAATGGTACCCTATTCGATCCATTATCTATCAAAGCGTAACGAAGGTTCAATTAACCAATAGTATTCTATTATTTCGGTACGCTACTTAGATAACTAATTACTATGCCCAGCTTTTCTAGGTCTATATTCATGCAGACCATGTCACTGACAGTCGTCCCTATAAACTCACGAATTCACTTAAGCGCTTATGTATATTCTTCTATAACAAGATTCCGATTCATATTTTTAACCGACTTCAAAAAGTGCAGGAGGTTCTCAATTATTGGTACCTCAATATTGATTCCACTTAAATTTGAAGAAAATATTGCACCTCTAAAAGTGACAAACTATTGGATGAATCCGGTTTCGTGCACTTTTCGGTAACCGTATTTGATTCCACGAACCTTTGAGGTCGGTTTTTTAAAGTTATAATTATTGTAAACTTATTATACTTTAATCTGTCAATTATAATTTCATAAACCATATCACAAAGATGCTCTTTTTGGTTCTGAAACAAAATTATTTTGGTCTATGGTACTCGCGACTGCACTGAAAACCGGATTAATTGCGCAACACACACGCAAAAGAAATACAGTCGAATTGAGTACCTCGTCCTTTTTTTGAAGTCGGTACAAATATATGGTAGTGACTCATTTATCTCTGCCAGGTTGTTTCTATGAAATTTGAAATAAATATGGTGAATGCGAAACATGAACAAATTTGTATTTACAAAAAGTAACCCCTACAATTTCTTACTCATTCTTCACAGTGGAATATGCTTTACGAATGAGTGGTAGATTTTAAATAAAATTCGTATAAATAGACATAATATCAGAAATAATTTTATTTTTGAAATAATTTTGCAGAACTCCAAACACCCAAAGCGTGAACGAATATTACACGTTAGACGAGAAACAATGGAAAGCCTACAACGTCGACTGGCCAGAATACGACGTCAATCATCAATCCTATTTGAGACTTGGTAAGACCAATAAACAGGTTTTTTGAGTAAACTTATTTTTATCTTAAACAGAAATCAGGCATTATTATCCGCTCACGCGATGCGCTCATCCTACCCAAAATGGCGGCTATTTGATTTCGCAAATTAGAAAAGGATTCAGTTTAAATACAAGTTTTTATAAATAAAAATTTTTATTCTGCATTGCTAAATAAATACCCTCCGTACGACCAACAAAAACATCTCAAATAAAATGCAGTAATACACCGCAAATCCTGCACTTAAAAAGCACCAATGAAATTTTTGGTGTACTTGGGTAAATATGATAATATTCCGTTTGAGTGGTTCTAACGTTTACCATGAAATTACTCCTTAAAGTATAATTTATAAACATTTATATTCAGGGTAAACTTAAAAAACGCTACTTATGGTATGTTTTCTATAAATAAACACCGAAATCACCAGCCCAAACAATAACACACACGATTGTCGTAACGTATTTTTGATGTTGTTTATTTTTTTTTAATGACAGACCCAGGCGTTAAAAACTTTGTAGTTTGCTAGAGTAGTTACCGAAATAGCAATTAGTATTAGTTCTTTTACCTGTTATAACTTCGATATCCGATATATCGGTATAAAATCATCACCGGCACCTCTAGGTGTGGTATGTGTCTACGGCTGCATGTATCGCGTGAGCGGTTATTTATAAAACAAACAACCTTTTGTCCGCCACTTGCAAAATTACAATTACATTCTTCCATTGTACCCCTATTGCATCTCCTTACTATCAAGTGACGAGACGAATAAGTCACGTGCTTGGTGGTGAACATCGCACCTACCTATACGAGTTTCAATTCCACTCAGAGCTTTAAATAGCAAAGATCTGAAAGGCACTACCACTGCACCCGTCTCCCTGAGATATACAGTTGACAAGTCTCACGTGTCTGTAGTTTCACTTTTTTCAATAATACTCAAATTACCGCTTGGCGGCAGAAACAGGTACAGTGGCAGTAGTTCAGTGGTTTCATAAAGAGCTGTACTGCTAGAGCTCCTTGTGATAGAGTTCGTCCATACTACTGCTACCTTTCCTATTTCTGTCGCCAAGCAGTAACAGAGACATGTAACAGATCTTTGCGATTTAAAGCTCTGAGTGGCACTGCAACTGTTATGGACAGGCTTACCATCAGGCGCACGTCTTGTTCATCCCGTTACTTGGTATTATAAAAGAACATTCTTGTAGCAACCGCTACCCTTACAAGACGAATTATTTCATTATACTTATGTTCCTGTTTGTGAGGTTGTTAAAATTATTATTAATGGGCAATAAGGACTATTATATATTAGAGTAAAAATGTTGATGGTATCATGGACTAATAACCCAAGAAGATTGTTAATAGCGATTCAAAACAACGTAGTCGGGTATTTAGCACCTATTGGTGCACCAGATGTCGCGACGAGTACCAAATTGCTATTTTTGTAACTAATTTGTTTTACATTGACGAGCTGAAATTTGTCAAAGCTACTCTAATTTCTAGTGGTAACAAACAAATGAACTAGATGGCCTAAACATTTTTATGGACGATGCCGGCAACTCATTTGTTTTGTTTAGGATTAGCGCCAATTAGAAAGCGTTATTTTATAAATGTTTTATAAGTGTTTGTAACACACAATGCCACCTATACACAAGCATATTTGATTTAATTCAGAAAGCAATTTTATATCATACTCGAATAATATATTAAGGAATTATAACTTTTTCATTGAAAAATAAAACCAATCTCTAAAGTTTCCTTATAGGCTTTTTTCGATTTCTATGAGATTCCCTCATCAGATTTCGACTTCTTGGTGACAATGGAACTGTTACGGACTTTGTACATGTATATTCTTTGTATCTTCTTTTCTGGTTGTCATGGTGACGTTGTTATTTGCAAATTACATGTATTGTGTCACGTAAAAAGTCGATTTTTATTTGCGGAAAATAATTAGTAATTTGTAATAACCGAAACGAACCCGGAACAGGGACCACCTCGAGAGCAAACAAAAATAGAATTATCAAAATCAGTGCACAATTGATGGAGAAATTGGTGAAGACATGGAGATGCCTGTAAAATATGAGGATTTCTGATTTGGTGACAATGGGACCACCACGAGAGTGCACTGTTTTTAAACAAGAAATTTTTTTTTCTTTCAAACAAAAAAAGAAGGAATTTTCAAAATCGGTGCACAATTGACGGAGATTTCTGAAAACATACGTAAAACATACAACTGAACGTATGACCTCTTCTTTTTTTGTTGAAGTCTTAAAAATAAACTGACTACATGTATACTACACAGCTATTTAGATGATATAAACTACTGCCAGTCTATTGATCAGCGCCATCTCGATATAAGACGGAATTTTGACCTTTTTCAGAGTTACGATTAGTAGTATGGATCTCTATACTACAAATGATAGTTTTCTTGAGTTTTCATTTATTTATTTGCATTTCATATGCATGATTTATGATTGATGAGATGAGATATGAGTTATTGGTTCATGATGTGCTTAAAATTCATTATATTAAATTTTACTTTCCAGACATACCGCCCCTCATCAGCAGTTTATACCGGTCGAATTACACCAAATTTTGGATAGAGGAACTGCCAACTACTATGAAGAAATACGTCATCGATCCGTTGTATGATTATACTCCAACATCGCTTCGATCAAAAATAACACATGGTTCAACTAGTCGTCCAGGTAATAAATAACGCATTACAATACGTAAATACGAAGAACTATCATTTAAATAGAATTACTGAATTAAAAATTTTGATATTAAGAATTCACTTGAAATATTCATCAGTTAAGTTTTAAATTATTGTCACAATCATGCATAGTAATACAATACTATTCATTTTAAAAAAATTGGAAAATTACGTATATATTACAGAATCACCGAGAAAACCTTATCAATCCAGAGGCTCAAGCTCAAGTTTCAACCAGCCATATCAGCCACGTTACGTTCCGTCAGTGTCGTCCTATGGTAGCGTGAATTCCTATCCTTCGTCTGTACGAAGATTAGATACCGACAAAATATACAGAGAAATAAGTCAAATAGACAAGCCATCAGCTAGGCCGCCTGCTCCAAATGGGTTAATGGAAAATTCACGTACTACCACTACAACACACCGACCTTCACCTGTGGTGAAAACATCAGGAGCGACAATAACGCTAGTTATTTCACTCGGAATTCTTTTCTTAGCAGTGAATGTAGCAATATGTGCCATTTTGTACTTCAAGAAACGAAATCTGCGCTTACGTGAGCAAGCTTTTGTGGGCGCTCGACATTCACGAGCTGAAATCGGTGAGGTCGATGTAATTGGTCAAAAGCTTTCAAAGGACGACAAAAGTGCTTTAAAAACATTTAAAAACGGCTATAGCGCTATTAAAACTATGAGTATCAGTAAAATACGGGGAAATAGTAAAAAAGGTTCAAGTAAGTCTAAAAAAAAATTAGAACCTTGTAAGACTCCTAAATCTGATGACTCCGGCGGATTCAGAGAACGGTTCCAGTTGAGACGGCATTTGTCAACAAGTACTTTAGATGCTAATACAAAAGTGAAGGATTGGATTACAAACGAATTAATGCATCGATGCTCTCCGAATATTTTAATGAAATCTAACACTGATTTACAAACAGAGAAACGTTTGACAATTGCAAAACCTTTCACGAGATCAGAAGAGCTATTATCAGATACAACAAAGTCCAACAAAGGTATTAAGGATACATTGGTAGTTGGAGATGCCCGTGCGACAACTTTGCCTTCAAAAGCAAGCAATAAACCCAAAACGTCTGAAAAAACTACATCTACTTCTGCTCTTGGTTCTCATTCTTCAATAGCAAGCAACAAACAGTCAGTAGTTAGTAAGCAAACAGGAAAATCCAATGAGTCATTGAAAAGCAAAGGAACTGACAGTACGAAATCACAAAAAGTATCAGTTGCTATAGACGCTACACCAGCTGCGAGAACTAACTCAATATTGAGTCAAGTACCAATTGAAATTTCCAAATCATTTGACTGCAATGAACCGAAACATTCCAATGAAGATAAATTGCAAAAGTCAAAAACTGAAAGTGATACTAATGTCGCAATAGAAATGAAACCTGATAATCATGAGAAACAAAAATTTACAAATGAAGTAACTTTATCTTTAGGGACTACTACAGGATTAAAAATATCTCACAAGCATTCCACATCAGATCCAGTAACTGATATTAATTACGAGAAAATTATACAAGAAAAAATTGAAAATGGAGAATCTATAATTAATATTCTCCCTCCGGTTACATTTAGAAATGATATAAATGTGACTTCACGGGACGAAAAGCGAGATAAGCTGCTGACTGCAGCTGAGGCTTTGCTTACTATTCAAAGGCGGAACTACCCTAAAGTACTTCCGGATTTACCAAAAGCGCAAAAGAGACTGTCTTTACAACCTACTGCATTTCAAACTTTTCGTAACTACGTCGGCGGCGGCGAGTGTCAAGTTGAACGCTCAAAAGTTCCACCGCAGCCTCCGCCTAGAACTACTACTTTAGAGCGACGTTTAGCTTACAAGAATACAAAGACTTTATCTTCGTTTGATACAGCAAACGTTAAGAAAATTTCTAAAGCAGACACAACTCCAAGAAACTATGAAAATGTTGACACACTCTCACCACCGACTGAATTTTATCGTTCAATTAACAAATGTTTAGAAAGAAGTCCAAGCATAAATAATCAAGTTGACCCAGTTATAGTTATCCCAAAGGAAAGAGAATATCCCAAAGTGATCATCGCTTCAAGTAACATTCCTTCAATTAGAACTCCAGAACCAAAACTCGTTATTCAATCTTCGCCAAGTCAAGTTGAAATTCCTTCTAATGCGCCAAGGGTAAGACTTCCTGATGACTTTCATTCACACTCACAAACAGGTTCATTAACTTCATTCTCCTCATTCTGTTCTGAGGATGATGATGATGATGATGATGATGACATAGATGATGAATTTCTCGATGAAGTAGCTGAAAACCAACTTATAAAAGAATTAGTAGGTGGAGTTGAATCACCAACAGGTATAGATCAACTAGATTCCAAAGGTCCAGAGACAATATTTGAGAAGAAATTAGAAATAGTACCTGTTAAAATAAATCCTGGCTACCTAGCGCCGAAAAACAAAGAAGACTATGTTTGTATATCTAACTTGCATTTACCAGATGTGAGCGATTTTGAGAAGACTGCTCAAATAAAGCCTACTTTTGGTTTAAATAAGTTACAACAAAGGAGTGAGAGTATCCACAGCCCTATGGAAATGGCGGTAAAAGTTAAACAGAAAAGAAAAAAACCTTCGACAATTCTTAACAATAGTTTGAAAGGCAAAAGAAAAAGTGATAAATGCAAAAGTGATTCAAGTAAATTAGAACATTCTACTTCTGGTTCTTCTAATGATACAGAAACTAGCACTGGGACTGTTAGACAAGTTTTAGTAAAAAAATAAAAAATATTACAATGTAATATAATACAATCATTAGGTATTTTTATACATAAGCATGACGCACCGTTTTATAGTACTTAAAGATTATGTAAAATAAACGTAGAACTGAAAATTATAATCTATAACTTTATATAAATATAATAATATAGCCTGAATCGTTATGTAAATGAACGTGTTTAAATGTAAATGTGTACAAATACTTAGGTACTTAATTTTTATTGTATGTACCAAAACCTCACGATCAGTTTGCATTTGGTAAAATAAATAGTATTCCCAAAACGAACTTGAACAATTATTTCAATGCTTTTATATTTCAAAAGGTAATGCTCGAGATCATTCTTTACCTCAAGATCACTATAATAACCCTGCTTTCTTGACCTGCCAGATCCCGTGAAATGTTTCCAGTGCCTATTAACTGTAAGATGCGAAGTGATAACACTTTCGGTGATACATACTAATTTACATAATAATTATTCTACTTACAACCGAGGAAACTGATGTTTTTTGAGAACTTATAATTAGAGATCATTGACTTACAATTATATGGACGTCGGGTCCGCGCTAAAAAGTGTCCGAACTTATAGGGCGTTAAAATCGTATACAGAGCGTCATTCACGCTTTAGTCTTCGTTTGTTCGACTGACAGCGAAGCAAGCAAAATTAGACAGTACTGCGATGATATTACAATTTAAATTCAACGTGTTAGCTTTTTCATATTCCTTTACATGTCACTACGTTTAAATAGGTTGACTTGGGACATTTTTTTCGTGGTTTTTGTGTTAGACCCGTCGTCCATTTATTTGTAAGTCAATGTCTTATACCTATTTTTATTGAATAGTTACAAAGCAAATAAAACTTTTTTACGCAAAACATTCGTGGTAAACTAACAATCATGCGACGAGGCTGACCACAAAAACCCGTAGCCTATTTATTCTGTACATAGACCATTGATGTCAATCAAACACGAGAGCTGAGTTCAGACTGGTCTGTATTTCGAAACTATTTCTACCCCCCAATACATGACATAAGATAATAAATGAGAATACCTACAACTTCCTTTTTTTTTTTTTTTTTTTTACAAAAATTAGAAGAAGTCATAATAATTATGTAATATTACAATTTCAAATAGTAATAAGAACATAACTAATTCTATTCTTAAACATACAACACATTAAATAATAATGGTAAATGTAAAATTAGCGCGATATTAAATTTTGCATATAGCATTTAAAACGCTATGCGAATATAACAGTTATTCTAACCTTTGCTTATAATACTTACTTATTTCTGAAACGGCAAACAGATGCCCATGTCCAACTTTCGAGTTCACCTAAGAAGTATCATGAAAACGAACAACTGTTCTATCTTTTGCATCATAAACGATTATTATACTAAAACGCGACACGGCTGCATTCAGTTTTATGATAACGTTGTTGGTATAACAGCGCACATTATATGCTGGAATGGGTTAAAGCTGGCAGCTAACCGAGTTACGGGTAGGTTTATTGCATTATATTTACCTTAAGAAGTGTTATGGTACGAGGAAGGATTACGGAAAAGTGTTTTTGATTATGTTTTGGAGTACGATTTTGGGAACGATTTTAAGGAGTTGATTTGAAACATATACAGACATAAAAAGGATCACAATGGACTTATTTTTCGATTTGTACACAATATGATAGAGGTTTAACCATTAAGCAATTGAAGCCTGTGTTGGAAAACCGCTTCTCTGCTTCCTTGAACTGGTAATTCAGAATGTAGTACCCGATCCTGCAAGCATAGCGTATTCGTATTTTTTTACAACATCAAGCGACATACGCCTGTCCATAACCGTTACAGTGCCACTCAGAGCTTTAAATTCCAAAGATTTGAGGGGCACTACCACTGCGCCTGTCACCCTGTGGCATAAATTGACAAGTCCCATGTGCCTGTAATTTCACCAGCAAGCTTAACCTTCAAAACCGGAACATAGTAATGCCGACATTTCTACTTGGCGACAGAAATAGGTAAGGTACACACTCACACTCAACACACACACTCAACATAGCCCCGCACTAGGGAAACCCTGTGTCGCGGGTGCCATGGACACACACATAGACAACCACAAATTACACCCAAACTCACGAGAGAAATAAATGTAAGCCATACAAACATTTCTCCAGACCCGGGAATCGAACCTGGGACCTCTGCGTGGCAGTCCGGCATGGTAACCGTTCGGCCACTGAGGCAGTTAAAGGTAAAAGGCAGTTAAAGGTAGTACTATACCGGACGAATCCTTTCTCAAGGAAATCTACTCCTACTAAACTGTATTTGGCTCGCCTACGCACCACCAATTACCCCCAGGCTATCGTGTCAGTCGAACGCTCACTGCGATGTGCGACTTTAAAACTTACTAATAGTAATCATTCGAAATCAATCATTCGCCTAAGTCGAGTCGAGTTGAATGATTATTATGTCGGAACTACTTGGGTTCATTCAATTGATATGGATCTCATAGATGGTAACTTTATTAAGTTTTTGGAGTAGGCACATTGTTTTGTAAAGTGTTTTTTTTTTAATTATAGTGTTATATTATTTTTTATATTTATTTACTCACGCCCATAGATTCTCTTTGGATAGATTGGAGTAGGTTGATACTATCGATCGTCACTTAGCACGATCCCTATAAACCACCCTTGCTTCACTTACATTCATCACTCTTTTCATACATGCCCATTTTATTCTTCTCACAACGCACTCCAGTCTTTTTAAAAACACTCTTAATTTAATCAAGTTGAATTGTTGAATGTTCTTAGTGGCCGTCCTCTTCCAATGGTTCCTTCCATGTTAATTCTTTATATTTCTTTCGTTAATCTACTTTCATTCATCCGCTCCATGTGCCCAAACCTCTACTGCTACTAAATTGTATTTGGTTCACCTACGCACCACTACATGTCTCCGGGCTGTCATGTCCGTCGAACGCGCACGGGGATACGCGACTTTGAAATTTACTAATACTAATCATTCGAATAGGCAAATTCATTCGCCTAAGCCGAATTTCTGTCGGAAGTACTCGGAACTCCAGATCATTTACAATGTCCATAATAAATATCCTTGTTCTCGTTACTTTTACGGTATCTACCATACGTCAGAGAGAGCTAGGCAGAAATGCTCTATGGAATCTATGATTTAGTAATACTAACTAGTAATGAATTATCATTCAGATCATTCGAACACTAAAATTAGTTGGTTACTAAGTTGTCATTCGTATGACAGGATTAGTAATTACTAACGAACCGAATATCGAAATCATTCTTTTCTTCATATTCATTCATTGCCATCATGGCCGAACGGTTACCATGCTACGCAGAGCTCCTGGGTTCGATTCTCGGGCCGAGAGAAATATTTGTATGGTCCACAATTATTTCTCTCGTGAGTTTGGATGTAATTTGTGGTTGTCTATGTGTGTGTCCATGTCACCCACGACACAGGGTTTCCCTAGTGCGAGCCTATGTTGAGTGTGTGCGTTATTATTATTATTCGCAACCGCGTATCGCTATTGACCCCTCTCCTTCCGTACCTTGCAACATGTGCGCTCCAGACAAATATATACCTATCCTTTTCTAGTTAGTTAAAATGAAAATAAAACAAAAGAGTTATATAATATGTCGAGTTATCATAGGTGGTCACGATTGCTATATACGGGAAATGAAATGATTTGTCCCAAAAAGTTCGTTTGTTTGAAAAAAAAAACAAATAAAAGCGATTTCAGATCCAGAAAAAAGAATTGCATTATTTGCAAAACTTATTTAACTCACAGAACTGACAAACGAAGGAAAGGAATAACAACAAGAAAACGAAGATTCTCGACTAACGAACACGACATCTAGAAGACGATACATAAAATTGAAAAGCACATTTTCATGTGCAATGATGACATAATAAAACTAGTTATTATGACCAAAATACGGCTATAAAGCATAAATGGAATCTTCATCTGAAATCTGCGAAATTGTTTGAAGTTACAAAACTTCAAAACAGTTTCACTTACTGTTGAGATCTCTCGGGAGTTTATTAAGTTATGAGATTTAGCGGGACAGTTAATTTTAAAAACCTCATTGTTACTGTAACATTCTATGAATATTGACCCTATTTTATACTGCTCATTTGTAAGGCAGATTCATTTGAGAAGAATGAGACATCCAAGTACGCAGAAGCTGTAAATAACCTTTACTATAAAGTTTTTGTTTCACTGTAGTTTCGAATGGCAAATTTTGAATAGCGTATACACAGTATACAGACTACCCAACACCTCAACTACTACAATAGAACTTCCGTGTTTGGGTTCATTCAATTGATGTGGATACATGGTGAGTTTATTAACTTTTTGGAGTAAGTAGACTGTTTCGTAAAGTGGCTATTTTTAAGCTTTAATTAAAGTGTTCTCCTAAAAAATTCAATTTTTTTATTTATATTTTTAAACGCCCTTAGATTCCCATTGGAATTGGCCGAGACTATCGATCACTACTTAGCACGATCAATCTTTTCATACATGCATCCATATTCTTATTCTTCTCACTACGCACTCCAGCATTTTCAAGACCACTCTCAATTTGATCTGATAATGTTATTAGAGGCCGTCCCATTCCAATAATTTCTTCCACGTTAGCTCTATATATTTCTTTCGTTAATCTACATTCATCCGCTCCATGTGCCCAAACCTCAATATACCCTTTTCTATTTTTGTCACTACGTCTTCTTTCAGACCACATTGTTCACACCACATATTCGTGTGAGGGATGTCATTTCAACTGCATTTGCTCTACTCTCATGCGTCTTCTGCCATTCCCTACACTTACTCAAAACTAAAGTGTTGTTAGTTCTTTACTTCGTAAATGCCACGGAATCTCTTATAACTTGTACCACAATCAAGACAAAAGTTTTAAAGGCTGCGATAAACCCTGTTATCAGAGGCCGAGAGTTTGTGATTGTTACTTCACTTCGATTTCCATGGAAAGCTCGACG